CAATGCTTTACTTTAATTGATGCATTACGTTCAGGAGTTGTTTGCAACCGTTGCTGCATTATACCTTGTTTACCTTTGTTATACTATATCCTTGTTACCCTGGTATCCGCAGTCGAGTCAATGCTTAGCTGGCTTAGACCGGTAGAAGTCGGATGATTTCCTGTCACCTGCGAGCTATAGGTGGTTACCTGGATCTGCTTGGATGACTATGAAGTCATGGTATAACTAAGTGTTAAATGAAGTTGAGACCGGACGGAGACTTGCAGAGTTTTGGACTGTAGTGTTTCCGTCTGTGTCGATTAAGGACCGACCGTTGTTGGGCCTCGAGTCATGTTGAATGCATGCCTTACATTTAGCTGGCGGATAAAGTACCTTCCGACCATGAAGTGGGAGATTTTTCGGCCGAGTAGATTGCCCATGACGCATTGTGCGGAGCAGGTGTGGTAGGACACGGGGGCGAGATGATAAGACCAAAGTGCAGTTGGTCGGCCCCCGGGTACATGTGGTTCCTGGCAAACTCGAGATACCTGGAAAGTTGACTCGGTGATCAATATCTCACTTTAGCGGGTGAGTGAGGTTTGTGTAAGGAATAAATCACCAGCTGGTTAGGAATCGATTCGAATCGCCATCGCTCCTGGATAGTGAGCACTTGACTTGAGTTACTTCATCGCAGTAAATGTTTATGGAACACTTGGACAGTTATAGTGAATATGACAGTATGGAAGTTGTTTAATGATCATTGGTTATCATTATCTGCTTAATCATATGTGTGCTCTAGTATAGGTGCAAATCTAGTCGACAGGTTAATAATAATTAACTTGACAATAATGCTTTTAGAAAGGTTCTTGAAATGCTAAAAATGCTTCTTTTGCAAATGAGTCAGCTGCACTACTATAAAGCCTTCATAATCCTTGGTGTCGTTTATTTTCGGTTATGTCGGGTAAGTCTAGCTGAGTACCTTCTCGTACTCAGGGTTTTATTCCCACTTGTTGCAGATGGGCAGATGTATTACGGCTACTGTATCAACTGCCTTTATCCTGCGATGGGTGATGCTTAGGACCATGGGCATGGTCATTCCTTACGTCTCGTCTAATGCTTTTGTTGGAGATGATCATTCGCTGGCACTATATTTGAACTCCGCGTGAGTGTGTGTGGTTTGAACAAATGGCTTCCGCTACTTTTATTCGAACTGGTTTTGTAATAACTATGTTTAAACTCTGATGTATCTGAGATGCAAACTTTTATGTAATATGTGATGGTGACCGCTAAACTTATTACGATCTTGGCTGGAATGGAAATTGGTTTGAAATCCTTCGTGATTTCACGGACTACCGGGTTATACGGGCTTAAGTTTGCTAAATCGTCTGCTCTGGCGGATGATTTTCTTACTTAATTTCGTATAATTGGTCGGTTCTGTTACAGAGCCCCACCGTAATTCCCATCAAAGACTGAATAGACTGGAACGCCCAATGTATCCCTTAGCATACGCAGCATCAGTCTAGTATTGGCACTTGGCTGGCCTTTCCCCGAAAATAATAAGCAATTGTTTCTCTCAGAGAAGTTGTCAGCAGCAAGCTCCTCAAATATATCTTCCTTTTTGACAACAAGGATATACTCAATTTTTCTCCTTAATATAATCTTTGTTACGTTATGCACCTCTGCTGGTATCCTGCAACCAGCTATGCCCCCCTTTCGTCAATCAGCCAATATCTTGTCACCTATAAATAGCAGCAGAGGTCCTTTGACAGTACTTGTCGGGGACGTAAAAATGTTGAGACTTTGGATAGTGAGTCCCATCATGGTGCTGATATCAGTCACGTCAGCATTGGAGAGTTTCTGGTTATGGGCAGAATATAACTGTGGATGAATGTAATAGATCTGGCGAAGGGAAACACTTTTTCTAGAGAACACCAAGTTTCTTATTCCTGTTAGCACCTTCTCAGTCCTCCTAGCCTTGTTCGCTGAATTTTCATATTTATTACTGCATAAATGTAGCTCCTCCTTCAAACAAACTTGCTTCAAAAGTGGATGAAATTCATACTCGTCTTTTTCTTTGGCATGGACATTGGTTAAGCCCTTGTTAGTTCGCGAAATTTGGATTTTGGGGCTACTGTAGCACCTTCGTTTTTATTTGGCAAATAGTGTTCAAACATGGACTAATTAGGCTCAAAACGTTCGTCTCGCAATTTCCCACCAAACTGTGCAATTAGTTTTTCTTTTCGTCTACATTTAATGCTCCATACACGGGCCGCAAACATTCGATGTGACAGATACTGTAGCAACTTTTTGGAAATTGGGATGGAACTAAACAAGGGCTAACTCAAACTCAACCATTTTCTTCTCAGACTTTGATCACTTCAACCGATCATCAATTATGCGTAAGGAGTCATCTCTAAGGTGATCTTCAACAAGAACATATCATTTCCTTATTTCTTCCATCTGTTCTTCCCCGAGACCCAAATGTTCAAGATTGCATCTTGCAACCAGTATTTCCACCATGCCCTCCAAGCCTCCGGTTGATAATCCTGAACTCTCTGAGCCTCCTGCTGGTGATCCTGAAGTCTCCTTTCTCTGAGGTGCTTTTATGGGGGTGAACAATTCTTCCTTCAGATCCTTTAAACAAGCTAATCTTCTCAAGGTCAGCAAGCTTGCTTTTCTTTACTGATAAGATCATTGAAATCAAAACAACAGGAAAATACTTCACTTCTAAATGCTTTAAAGTATTAGAATTTAAACATAACAACTTTTCTTAAAGTTTAATCACTTCGATTAAAGCATTACTCACCATCTACATCACAATCAGCATTCATCTCCTTGAATTTCACATGTTCTTTGTTCTCTTCAATGTGCATTTCCAATTCCTAAAAAGGAGCGGAGTCTAAGATTAATCACATTGCAAAATGAAATCTGAAAGGGTAATATGACAAATCTTTGTAAAAGATTGTCTTACGCTGAAATAGTTGAAGATATTATTGCATGCAAGACAGGTAACATTGAGCTCTCCATCAATAGGATATCTGAAACTTCTATGACCCTCAGTTTCACGGTGCTCCTTGGCTGATTTCACCAATTGAAAACAAGTAGTGCATAGCACCGAATCCTCCATTGCAATTTCCATCCCGCTTCATTAATAAAGAGAAATTTTTTCAATTAATTTAGGGGATAATTTGATTCATACAAGGCGACACACAAGGGGAAGATGAGGACTGGAGAGGACATTGCCACTGCTTCTTAGTTGTGCAACGTGATAAGGTGCCGTTGGCTTCTTGGGTTCATGCGGAAGGGGCGTCCTCCCGTGTCCTACAGCTCAGGTATCACAACTGAAGAATAAGAATATGAAGAGGACCTCTTGATTGATGACGATGAATAATATATATAGTCAATTGATATTTCTAGTATAATGCGGTTTAAACAAAGCAATCATTTTATTTTACCCAGCAAACTACAACAGGGAAGCGACATATAATTTTCCAATTGCAAACAATATAAAATGTACAGGTTGGCACAGTTCAGTCTCCATTTTGAGAAATAAAAAATGGCCCAAGTACATTCCTCAAGAATGTACAGATCACCCATTTTATACCAGCAATCACTACTGGCCCACAGTTGAATAAACTGAATTCTAATATTGAAAAACCATGATGCAGCAACGGTAAAACAGTGCTGAAAGGTTGAACTCAAACAAAATTCCAGGGTAAAATGATATCACAACCATAATGGTCAATAGCACATATTACCAACTCCAAGATTAAGACCGAAGCATGTCTAGATGCAACAAGCAAACCTAACTAAACCCTCTATACAGTGTGCTATCTGACTCAAGCCAACGCACCACCAAATTAACCAAACTTCTTTCTCGGGCCAGAACCAAAGCTCAAATTCCCTGAGCTGTCCGCGGGGCGGGGGCTGGGGGCGCCGTCGGCGGTGGATGGCCGGCTGCAGCTGCGTCGGATGCGGGCGCTGGGTGTCGGTAGGACGCAGGAGCGGCCGAGCTGGCGATGCGGCCGCGTGCTCCGCTGCTCGTGCCGTCTCTCTGCTCGCTCGATGCCTGATTGCCTTTTTAAAAAAGTGGTGCAAATGTGCAGTTCTGTCACGCCCTCACCACACCTGGCAGCCCAACCAAGACGCACAGCCTGAAGCCCAAAACGAGGAGTACCAGAACCCACAAGCCGAATACCAGAGTTGCCGCCCCATGCTGGGGGCGCCTCCAACAAAACTCAGCCGCAGCCCGCTGGCCCGCATGGTATGGCAAAATCGGGAGCCGCGGAGACCCCCGGCATAGACACGTCGGACGTCCAGACTGCCTGACATGGCCGGAACGAGCCAGCCACACGTCACTGCCGTGCCGGCCACGTGCGGCCCCGTCGTGCGCCGGCAAGTCGTGGTTAGTGGCGGGGCCCTCGGATCCAAAAACGCTGGCTCCCCACGAGTCCTTTTGGTCACGGAATGATGGAAATGGAACCCATCGGGTGCCGTGGTGCATTGACACCTCATGCCTACGAGTTGTTGGCACATTCGAAGAGAAAACGGGGGTTAGGATTTGCCTTGGAAATTCTAGTTTAAAAGGCACGGGAATTCTAGTTTAAGCAGGTCGCTTTGCGGATATGCTCGCTGTTCTGTCTGTCATTCGCGCTCCCTGGTCTTCTACGCTGGCTCCTGAAATTTGTTTCCGGCCCTCCCGTGATCCCATCAGACGATCCAGAGTCGAGACGTGCCAGGGTATTTCTCCTCCTGTGTCTCCATGATTTTTAGCCGCACAACATTAAAGCCCGTCTCTAATTTGTAGTTTGCCGACTAATAGAGCACCCCAAGACAGCGACTTGACATATATCTCTGCATAGTTTATCCTCACTCATCAACCATAATGGCACCTCACTCGTAGACTCGTACGCTTGGCAGTCGTCACGTTGTATACAAGACCACAAGCCTCTGTTCCCCACAAGAACGACTCGCGCGCAGTCCTTCGCGCACTCCTCGGAGCTCCAGCGTGGGACTCGGCCATGGATGCACAGCTGCACTACTCCAGGCGACTCCTGCTACAGCTGCAGGGGCCGGCCGCGTGCCCATCACCCGGCGCCGTTCCGGACGCTCGGCCGGTCCCGGCAGCGGCAGGCGAGCTCAACTCCGACGCGATCCTCACCCTCGCGCTCCTCACGTGCGGCCTCGTCGCGGCGCTCACGTTCCGCGTCGTGCTCCAGTGCGCGCTCCGCGTCACGCGCGGCGCGTGCTGCGGCGGAGCCGACGACGACGACGACCCCGAGGAGCAGGAGCAGGACCAGCAGCACGCGGGCGGAGGCGCGGGGCTGGCGCAGCTGCAGGCCGCCGCGGCGGCTCCCGCCGGCGCTGGTGCAGGCGCTGCCGTGCCTGGCGTTCTCGGCGGGGCTGGAGATGGCCGGGTCGTCGCGGTCGGAGTGCGCCATCTGCCTCACCAAGTTCGCCCGCGGGGAGACGGTGCGCGTGCTGCCGCGCTGCAACCACGGCTTCCACGCGCGCTGCATTGATCGCTGGCTCGCGGCGCGGCCGACGTGCCCTACCTGCAGACAGGCGCCGTTTGCCGAGCCCACCGCGTTTCTGTAGCCAGACAGCCCTGGCCTCTGGACAGCCGTCGCGCAATACTGATCATAGTAGGCGATCGCGTGCGTGGCCCGCCTTGTGGAGCCGTAGAACTTGCGCGGTTGTCGGTAGTGTTTGTACATTAGCAGTGTGCTAAAGGAATATTGATAGTGCGTTACATGGTTTGAGTAAAATAGATTTGTGGTTCCTAAACTCAAGAGGCATCGTCGTTCAAATTCTAAAATTTCATTTTTTTATTTATATGGGTCTTTAAATTAGTGCAGGCTTCGATATTAGCCTAAATCGGTTCGACACACTCTAGACACGTCGACTAATTTTTTTTTAAATTACACAGTACAACATAACACGCCACAATATACACACAGACATGTTGAATCTAATAACTAAGAACATCTCTAAGAGTCTTTTTAAAATTTACCCTCTAAATCATAATTTGAAGAGTCATTCGAATAAAATTTGCTTTCTATGTCTTTGTACCTCCAATATCTTTTCTACATCTTGTGCGCACTTTAGAGAGTCATCCTTGCTCTCCATTTTTAGCCATCAATAAATCCGAAATAGAGATGTCTATATTCTGAGGTCCATTTAGACAGGTTGTTGGAGTGTATTTTTTCACCTAGAATATTTATTCTAAGAAATTAGAAAAAAATATAAAGAGTATTTTGAAGTTGCTCTAAATTTATATGGTGGTGTCATTTAGGTAGGTCCCAAAACTTATCACACGAGCCACACATATGTCATTTAGGTTAGGCCAGTCTCAGTGGAAGTTGCATGAGAGTTTCATTTACATTTAATAGCCTACCACATAAGTATTTTTTATGACATGGCAATGTTTTAGTGAAGAGAGAAGAAATAGGTTTTGTAGGGGTGAAATTTTCTTGGCATGATTATCAACTCTATATGAGTTTTACAATTCAATGTCTATGAAACCATGGAATGAAACTTTGCACTGAAAGTGAGTGTTTCATCAAAGTTTCATTTCATTCTATATGACATGTCTTGAAAATAACGCAATGAAACTCTCCACTAAGACTGGTCTTAGGCTTGCATTTTAGTGGGCCATTGGGCTCATTGCTAGAGGTTTTGATCATGTCACTCCATTTGAGACACAGAGGTATCATATCAATCCTTCATCATAAGCTACATTATTCTAGGTGTACAAAGCTAAATAGCAACATTAATCATACAAGAATATGTTCTCAAGCCATCACACTTGGACAGACCAAGATATCTACCCCGAGATTTCACTTTGCTGCTCATGGCTGGCGTTGTTCATTCACGAATTTCGGTGATAATTCCATTTGGGGGACACGTGATGCTAAAAAAGAATTTTCAGCCTGGGGGTGAAACGGTCAGTTTTTCGCTTGAAGAAACATTTTGCTCCGTCCTCCTCCCCCTTGGAAGTTGCGCCGTGGTCGCCCTCATCGTTCAGAAATTGAGCTAAATCCTAATAAGGGTCTGGATTCCCAATGCTTTATTCACACAGACAGCACTACAGCAGAGTAGGAAAGATCTTTCCACTCGTCTTTCTACCACAGTTTTCTCGCATATCACACAATTCGCAAACGAACGCGCCAAATAACTACTCATTTCCATGTTCCAAGTATTCGTTAAGTTGCATTGTCTCGTTAGGCTCGTGCAGCAGGCACTGGCAGAAGACAACACACAGAATCAAAACTCCAGATTGCCAAGCAAATCTCTAGATTAACCAACAAAATAACACCTCATGTAGGGAATATATATACTTATAAGAATCCAAATACTCATAATTCACAACGCCAGTATGTTACCAAAATAACACAGCAGTTCTTAAACGATGTGATAGTCAAGCATTATGGTGCCCCAAAGCGGGCACATCATTTCTTCTTGGTAGCAGCCTTGGCCACCTTGGCACCAGTCGGGTCCTTCTTCTCGACACTCTTGATGACTCCAACAGCAATTGTCTGCCTCATGTCACGGACAGCAAAACGACCAAGAGGAGCTCAGCACCACGGGCTTGGTGGGAATCATTTTCACCATACCAGCATCACCCTTCTTTAAGAACTTGGGCTCCTTCTCGATCTCATTGCCAGATCGTCTGTCAATCTTGGTGAGGAGCTCAGCAAACTTGACAGCAATGTGGGAGGTGTGATAGTCCAGCACTGGCGCATAGCCCTTGCAAATTTGTCCAGGGTGGTTCATAATGATGACATGGGAGGTGAAGCTGGCAGCCTCCTTGGCAGGGTCATCCTTGGAGTTGGAGGCCACGTAACCACGCTTGAAATCATTCACAGCAACGTTCTTCACATGAAAGCCCTCATTAGCACCAGGAAGGGCCTCCTGGAGAGCCTCGTGGTGCATCTCAATAGACTTGACCTCACTAGTCAGGCCGCTAGGACCAAAGGTCACAACCATGCCAGGCTTAAGGACACCAGTTTGGACACAACCAACAGGGACAGTACCAATACCACCAATCTTGTACACATCCTGAACGGGAAGACGCAAGGGCTTGTCCGAGGGTCAAGAGCCTCAAGCAGGGTTGGTCCCTTGTACCAGTCAAGGTTGGTGGACCTCTCAGTCATGTTGTCACCCTCAATACCAGAGATGGGAACGAAAGGAATTTTTTTAGGGTTGTAGCCGACCATCTTGAGTACCCTTAAATCATAACGGGCCTTCGAGTACCCGGGTGCTGTGGCATCAATCTATAAACCGAACAGCAGCAAAACATTTCAGTTACATGACATAGATAATGTTCAGGGACACAGGCCATAATACAAGGACATGTACAAAGTCAGCATATCCAAGTGACCAATTATACAGCACATAATGTAAAGACCCCACAAGCATGTGACAAAAATGTTACTTGAAATACGTAATGTCGTAATCAAAATCACAATTAGAACCTTATAACAACCTCATATAAGGCTGCAAGAAAGAAAGTGCCGTCTGCTGACCTTGAGTGTTAGACTCGACCCGACCCTGACCCGCACCCACCCTGAGGCACCCGTCCCGCCACCGCCGCTGCCTGCCCCCCCCCCCCCGCCCCCTCCTCCGCCTCCACCTCCCCCTTCCCGTCCCCGTCCAACTCCCCTCCTGTCGATGTTTTACCACCGATAGCCTGCCACGGGGTTATCCGGGACAATATGTTCGGGCTTCAGCATATGCGAAACTCGACGGTGAACACAGGAGACAGTCGATTTATCCTGGTTCGGGCCCTCGATCGTTGATCGAGTAATAACCCTACGTCCAGTCGGCGTTAGCCTCTGCGTTGTATTGATTGTGTGTTGTTATAGTCTCCCGTCTCTAGGAACCCTGCCCTCCTTTATATAGTCAGGAGGTCAGAATCCTAGTCGGTTTATAATGAGAGTTTCTAGTAGGATTACAGAATAATACTACTATTAAGATTACATGAGGAGAATCCTAGTTAGACTAGATCTTCTCTCTTCCTTGCGGGGTATCCTATGAGTCCCGCACCGACAAGCCCCCGAGCACTTCATGGTTGAGCTCTGGAAGCCTCGTCTTGTTCTTTCAGGTCTTGCCGAGCAGGAACAAGAATCGTCCGAGTGCTTTCTTGAGCGAAATCGTGTAGCGCTCTATGAGATCTTCGCGTGGTGTGTACCTTTTTGAAGAAAAAAGTACTCCCATTTGGGTGTAGCCCCCGAGCCTCTTGCTATTTGGTACAAGGAGCGGGAGGGTCTTGTCTTGAAATCGCTCTGATCTTTCGTTGAAATTTTCCCGAGCATGTACCCAAGTTCTCTGTCAAAAAGAACTCGGATATAGCTCGGTCCGGCTTCTTTTTGTCATGAGTCCTTGAAGTAGTTTTGTCTTGAAGAAGTCTTCTTTGTGACTGCGCTTTTTCGAAGAAAAAAGTGCACTCACTGAGTGTAGCCCCCGAGCCTCTTGCTATTTGGAACAAGGAGCTGGAGGGTCTTGAATCTTACGTTGTTTGAAAATTGCTGTCTTGAAAAATCCTTTCGAGTGATGTGCGCATTTTTTAAAAAAAAGTGCACTCACTGAGTGTAGCCCCCGAGCCTCTTACTATTTAGAACAAAGAGTTGGAGGGTCTTGAGTCTGATTTGTTCGAGGAACTGAAATCTTCCCCTGTTGTAGCCTCTGAGCATTTATCCGGGTTCTTTGATTAAAAAAGAACTCGGATGCATTGTCTTGGCGTATTCTCTAGTAGTCTGCTGTTTGTCAGGTGTAGTTATATGGTGGTGATTGAGTGTAAATGTTGCCTGTTCACGGGTGAATGAAGATTTTTTGTTGATGTCTTCTCTGTCTGGATGCCTTGTTTATTCTTTGGATTAGTTGTCCAAGTGATTAGAGTTATTTGACTTGCCGAGTACTTTGTCTTGCTTTCGTCTTTGCCATGTAAACAACTCTGCGTGTTATCTTTGTGTTGACAACCTTTCTTGATCTGTCGAGTGCTTGTTTGGCCCTCGTCTTCGCCATGTAAACAACTTGGTGTAGTCCGTTGTCTTGACAAACTTTCTTGATCTATTGAATGCTTGCCTGGCTCCTGTCTACGCTGTATAAATAACTCGGTGTAGACCGTTGTCTTGACAGACTTTGTGATCTCAAGTGTCTTCAGTGTAGCCCCCGAGCCTCTTGCTATTTGGAACAAGGAGCTGGAGGGTCTTGACTTGAATTTTTTCCGATCCATACTAAGGCTTAGTCGGTTTGCTTTTTGGTCTGGGTGTTAGCTTGTTAGCTACCCTCATCGGCGGGCTCAAGCATCTTTTTAGCTATTTTGCTCTCGGCCGGTAGGCTTAGGCCTGTTTCAGCCATTTTGCTCTTTGGTTCGGGTGTTAGCTTATTAGCTACCCTCATCGGTGGGCTCAAGCATCTTTTCAGCTATTTTGCTCTCGGCCGGTAGGCTCAGACATGTTTCAGCCATTTTGCTCTTTTGTTCGGGTGTTAGCTTATTAGCTACCCTCATCGGCGGGCT